GGCCTTTGTGCTAGCTGTCTCCCGTACCCTGGAAATCCCTCCCTCAGTATCCACAGAGGCACTTTCTTGCTTCCTGGTGTCTTTGCTCAAACACCAGCTTCTCAGTGACACTCTCACTGACTAGAACACTACATGTCAACCCCTGCCCTCCAACAATACTACCAAACCCTCCTACCTTGCTGTATATTTTCCCATGACATTTGTCACCATTGACATATTACATAATGACCTTATTTCTCATGTTATTTTTAAATGTCTCTCTGCTGCAGGGAGACAAAGTTTAGGAGGACAGCTGTTTTATCTGTCTCGTTCGTTGCTGTATCCCCAGTGTTAGGAATAGTGCCTGACACATAGCAGGTGCTCAATTAAACTGTGTCAAGTGACAGAAAGGAAAGAAGAAATTACTTTAAATAATGCAGCATCTTTATTATCATAAAACTTTATAACTGGAAGCAATTTTGAACTTTTGCAGATGATATTATTTTACCAATTAAAGTGAGGTCCAGAGAATTTATATGAGCTGCCAAAGGCCATGTAGCCAAATAAGTAAACTGTGAACTTACCAAGTTAGCTTGGCCCCAAGTCAAGTGTTGTTTTGTTACATCATTATTCACTGCACAATTTTAAGGAAAACATTATTTTCCTGATAAGAGCAGACATTCAAAAATGTCATCCTGTAAATTATTATCAGAATTCTAATTTTACAATAAAGATATCTGTGGTGTGTTTTCTTTACATTCTACTAAGTATTTTTTAACTTGTAAACGTACTTTAAAAACCGCTTCACCTGCTAACCTATGAGTTAAAAAGCCTGATTCATCCAGGCTTATTTCTCACAAAATTCTAAACGTTCATGTGTAGGAATTCATGGAATTCACAAATATTACTACTGTAAGCCCTTTGATGAAAATGATGCTCTGTGCTTCAATCTTGGCACTTTACACATGGAAACAGATTTGTTACATGGTATGAAACCAGTAAAATAATTGTCTAATATTGAGTATAAGTTCTGGAATATAATGATTTTCATGAAGGTATGTGTAAATATGCAAAAATATTGAAGTTATTCACTTAATAATATCAAGAAAAATCTGTTAAAATAAAATAAGAAGCCATGAAGATGAAATGTAAAACACAGGAAATGCAGTTAGTAATATTGTAATAAGTTTACATGGTGACAGATGGTTTGTAGACTTAGGGTGGTGACCACAACATAAGGTGTATAAATGTTGAATTATTATGTCATACACCTGAAACTAATACAATGTTGTACCCCAAATACACTTAAACTAAGAAAAAATCTGCCAAAGCATTTATGTCAGGGCTTATAGTTGGGTGCATTAGAAAAAGGTATTCAATGACATAGGATAGATGTTTGATCTTTCCACAGGGCATTTCATGGTGTTCTTGTGAAGGATGAGAAATTCAGGGCATGTAATGAGGTGAATGGATAAATACGTTAATGGCTGGCCACACCTTTCCAGAGAGTAGCACTCAGCAGGTGTATTTCAATGCATACAGTTCTTTTTAGTGCTGTTCCTCAAGGATCTGTTTTTACCTGTTTTCCCATCATTTTTATCCATTACTTCTGTGAATTGACAGAAAGCATTTATAAAATGTGAATAAAATAAACCTGGGTAGGACAATAGATATGATGGATGAAAGAAATAGGTATTTATTAGAGTGTACTAAAAAATGTATTATACTGCAGTCATGGGTTTAGACATCAATCTTTTCAGTAGAATTGAGATAGACTGTGTCTTAATCTCCTTGTGCCCCTAATATTCCACAATTTCTAACCCACAATAGTGTTTAAATATTACTTGATAAGCCTGAAAAATAGGTCAAATTTAGCAAGGTCTAGAGATATCGGTGGAGCTCGCAGTAAAATGTGGCTCACTAATGAGAATGAAGATAGTATTAATGGAATAGCCTCTAAAAGTGAGGAGGTGGGTAGTCGTCCCATGTGCCTCTGCGTTCCATGCTATTCCTTTGAAAATGACCGAGACAGTGGCAATCCAAAAATGGATACTGTGATGGCTTTCAGGTATGTTAGGTGATAATGTGGGAAAAGAAAGTGAATTTGTTAGGGCAAAGGATTAGATCTGGGCCAAGGGTAAAATGAAAGGAAATGTATTTCGATCAACAGCTAGGTTTTGCCTCTCTAGAAATAAAAACGGTTTTCTATCAGTGGAGTTGTATGGCACGGGTTAGGTGAAAATGGGCAGAGACACTGTGGGTAAGCTTCTTTGCATAATTTAGGTAGTTCAATTACAGGATCTTTAAGGGGATATCAGGATCTATGATTCTAATATTTCCTGATTTTATTCTTGAGTCCTCAACTTACTCTGAAATTGAAGGTATGTGGTGTTATACATATAGTACATGCTTCTAAATATGTTTAAGTGTATGAAAAAATAGGAGGAGAATCTCATTCATAAAGAAAACACATAAATACATATAAGTCATGAACATTTGGACCGGTTACTCCATTACTTATGTTCAGAACAGTAGAGAAGGTTGACTTCTTTCAGCACTTTTGTATTAATCCTGAGAAGACATTTATGAAGATATACTATAAAACCCTGGATCTAAAACAAGCAACCTTTGCAACCACACATTAAAACATTATAAAATACGTTATTAAAGGAAAGTCTGCAACTTGACAAGAAAAATGTCTGTGGGTTAGAGAGGAACATACATGGATAAAGGTAGACACATTCAGAAGACTGCCCGCTTAACCATGTTAGATGCACACCAGCAAAGCAAATACGAATTACAGCTGAAATGTAAAAATGGAGGGTGTTGATGGAGAAAGAAAAACTGACTGTTAAATGATTGACTTAACCTATGAGATTTCAAAATGTATCCTAATGTAAAACATAAATTGACAGAATAAAAACTCCAGAAGTTGATTAAAAATATTTGCTGAGCTTAATATTTAAAGGAAAAAAAACAAAACTCATACAACATCAGGAAACAAACCACTAATAAATGATGTTGCAACAAATGCCTATTAGTATGTACTACATCATACATTCCAATAAATTATAGGTAATGCAAATTCTTCACTGACTCAGTTTGTTAATTAATTGTAAAAAGAGAAGGATGAAATGCCTTTTCCCTGCCAGTGGTGGGCTGTGGATAAATTTGGACTATTGGAGAAATCAATTTTATCACCATAAATAATATCTTGAAATGAAATATTAAGTTATATAATGTCAAACTTCACAAATAACCAGAAATAACAAAACAATGATTTCCATCCGAAGTAGTATGAAATCAGTGAAAATAAAATGGCTGGGACGCCTGTAGTTAAAAGGGTGCTTGTAGGTACTGGTGGTACTGGTGAGAGTACCCGTCATTAACAAGAGCCATCTTGTCCACCTAAATGTTGATTTCTACATACTAGATTCCAGTACATGATACCAGGGTTCCTTGGAAATGGCTGCACCTGGCAACGGGGCAGGGAAAATACACATTTTGACTCATTTAGTTATGAAATTGGACTAAGTTCATTATTAAAACTGATACCATTAAAAGTGAGCATCCCCACAGACAGTCAGACCAAGTTGGTATGAACAGGAAGAACATTAGTGTACACTCTCCACCTACGTCAATGTACCATAGAAGGCAAGGCCCACTGACAACAAAAAGACCCTTCGAAAGCCGCTGGTTCCAAAATGGTTTGGGAATGGTTCTACTGTTGCTCAAGTGATAAAAGACTGATTTTCCCACAATTAAACTCCTGGTGAAAATGTGAGTAATGAAAAACCAGGAAACAAGTTAGAAAAATATGAATTTAACTTAAGAAGCATTCGTATTTTCTTATATTTTCTTAAAATAAGAGGAAAAGCAGGCTGCAGAAGAAAAGGGCAGGGCAATAATGTTTCTGCTCTCCAGAGACTTAGGATGTATAGCAGCGGGGCTAGGGCAACTCTGAGAGAGATACTGGGATAGAGATTCTCACCACCATTAAAAAAATGGTATTAGCCTCCACTGTTCTATCAAAACGAATCAAATTAGCAAACAGATTTTAACAACCCAAAAAAAAGCCATTTAGAGGGACACAACTATAGTTAAATGTTGATTATCACATTTGCTGGTCAGCTGTGTCAAGCCATACCTTTCAATTATTCATCTATACACCTCTCTGTCTGTAGACACACACATACACATGCCCACATATATGTGCATATATGTGCATGTGTGTATGAGTATGTACATGTATCCATGAAATCTAGACTTCTTAATATGTCTTTGGAATAATGCACAAAAGTGATTTTTTAAATTGAGTTTTATTTGTTTTTAGAGAGATGGGAAGGGAAGGAGAAAGCGAGTGAGAGAAACGTTGATGGGCCGCCTCTCACAAGCTGACTGGGACCTGAATGCACCATCCACGCATGTGCCCTGACCAGGAATCAAACCAGTGACCCTTGGCTTTGCAGAACGACATCCAACTCACTGGTCAGGTTTGAGCGACACTGGTCAGAGCCAAACATAGTATTCTTATGTGGAATCAAACCTTCTTAAATCCTTTTGAAATAATTCACAAAAAATAATCCTCAGAATAAGGCGAAGAGCAGTTTATCTATCATACTGCATTGTTTTCAGGCCCCATTCTGAGGTATTATATCCTGATATCTCTCGAAGTTTCTAAGAGATTTAAGATCAGATGCTTGTTTTTCTTCCTAATATAATCTTGGAGGAATGCATAAAAGTAGATTAAACTATGTCAGATTCTTTAAAAGAAAACACTGTGCTTCTTTCAAGAAGGTTGTTATGTGGCAAAAGAAAAAAAAGACACGAGCATTTCAAGCAGTGCTGACAACACAGCGGAGATGCAATTTGATAAGTAGCCTTCCATCATCCAAGCCAGGGCCAGAAAAGCACGCTATCAGCACTTTCATCAAAGGCACTACTGACCCTCTTTTTCTATCTCGTCTTAGCACGACTTTCTCATTCTGTTTACTCGACCACTGGAGAAAGAGATTCCTTACCCCCTGGGTGAGTTACAATGGAGTCCACGGCCGAAGGGTCCTTCTCTCCGTTCTTGCTGCCACCGCTGCCTTCACTCTCGCCATCGCTTTCGATCAGCTTATCCACCATGGCAATAATGCGGTTCAGGCTCTTCCCCACGTTGGCCCACACCCTGTCCTGAAAAGAGCATGAGTATCAATGCACATTTTGGCTGATTCCATTTTAGAGAAGTAGAGGAACAATCATAAGAAGGCGGAATGAGTGACGAGCTCCAGTATTCCCATCCATCTGGCCGGGCTATGGATAAACAAGAAACCCACTTTCCCTTAATAAAGTAAAATTTAAGTGTCATTAAATCTTTCCAGTTAGTTCACTATTTTCTTCTGTCATAAAGCAATGATAAACTGCCCTATAATATTTATCCATAATTGAGCCCAAAGCCTGACATTTTAAACTGGATATATCTATTTTTCTTATTAATATTTAGTAAGAAAGAAAAGACACACCAAGATTTTAAAAATACGTCCACCAGTTGCATTAAAAACTCTTGTTTTTTTAAATTCTGACAGGATATACATAAAGTTTACCATTTTAACAATTTTAAGTGTGCAGTTCAGGGCCATTAAGCACATTCACACTGTTGTGTGGCTGTCGCCACCATTTAACTATAGACCTTTTTCATCTCCCCCAACGGAAACTCTGTACCTTTTCAACATGAACTCGTTCTTCCCTCCCTCAGCCCCTGGCAGCCATCATTCTACTGCATGTCTCTATGACTGTGACTGCCCTAGGAAATGGAAATTCATAAAGTGCAGTCTCCAGCTAATGGGAATAAACTCTGCTATTGAGGAAAAAAGGGAGAGAGGGCTGCTCTTAATTTCCAGATTAGCTTGTACATGAGATAAATTTTCATCTCTCTTCCTCTTGCTCATGTTGAGAAGAACTTTCATTTTAACTCAAAAAAAAAAAAAAACAAGCAATATTGCATGCTGCCCTTCTTACGTAAAGGAATACAAGGGATGGATCAACTGATCTTAGTCATGTCGCTGAACAGCCTGCACAGAAGGCTGTTTAAAAGGATGATTTTCCATTTTATACCTATACGTTACTCTTCTTCCTTTATTGGTACCTTGAGTTATAGGATTTCATTGATAGGAAAAGTAAATTCTGCAGCCACTAGAGTGATCATTGGAATGAGGAGCAGAGTGAAGCGTGTTTATTGACCAAGGTCAACAGCCATATAGTAAAGGGTTATGTGGCAAACAGCAGGAAAATATTTAAACCATTGAATGCTTAGAGGGCACATGAGCTGGGAGGCTGTTTACTGGGCGTGGGAAATGGAGCAGTTCCTTACGTGATACTAATACACAGTTCATGCATAATCAGGTACCTTACTGAAGCCACACTCAACACAGCACCCTGAGTAGACCCATTGTATCCTTTACTTTTGGGGAGGAGATCCTGCCAAGCTGATGACGAGAGGACTCTGAACTTTGTTGGTCATGCTTCCTTCTCCTTTATGGCATCTACAAAGTAGATTAAAGCTATCAATTTGATTTGCACTTCTGTCTCTAATTCCAGACTATGAATTATTTGGAAGCCGCATCCTTAATCTATTGCACAGGGTCTGGAAGAAAGGCAGAGAGGGAGGGAGCGAAGGAGGGAGGAAGAGAGAGATGCCTCCGACTCAGAAATACATTGAGGGCTGCTACGTATATCACCTGGTACATGAACAGAAGCTAATTTAACCTCAAACACCATCAAATAAGTTTACTTTTAGATATAAAGAGACATCAGGTAAGAGATGTTGTTGAATAACATTAAACATTAAAATGATACAACTGGATTATAAATTCCACTTGACTCAAAAGACTTGATTTTCTAGCCCATGATTTCCCACAAAATTGTGGTACATGGTGGGAATTCTTCTTTATGAAATGACCAGAACTTGAGGACAAGCTAGACAGAGGAAGGTCGGGAGAGGGAGCCCAGGGTCAGTTACAGGTGTGTGTCACCTCACAGAAGCAAGATTCAGCTTCAGTCATCTAAGATTTAAAAATGAGCCCAATGGCAGATTCTGTACTATGACTCTACAAAAGGACAGACTGGTCACGCATACCCTTAAGTCTGAAATAAGGAGTGTCACAAAACCGGAAATGGAGCAATCATTCGGCTAAAGGGTCAGTCAGCTTGGATCATGGAACACGAGTGGCTGGTATTAACACAAGACAGAGTTGGTGTCAAGGCTCCACACCCATTCGCGAGACTGGGATATGAACAGGGAGTGGAATACAAGGGGGAAAGATGATGGTTCAATTCCTAGGAGACTGGAGTGCAAGATAATTATTTTGGGACTGGGGAGCTACAAATGAGTCATCAGGATTCTTGAAGGGAGCCTTGAATATCTGGTTTCCCTCCACTATTTGTAATATCTCTGAGAAAACATGCACATAAAGGAAAATAACCGGCAAAAATATATTCTTGTTCTGATGATTATCACTCACAAGGTTGGTTCATGAGGGGAATTTGTTTTGCTTAGATTGCCAGTATGGCTGGGGCCTACTCCACTTTCTCCCTAACTAAGGTCACACAGTTTATTTCAGACTGTTCCCATGAGGAGGAAGAGGAAGGGCTGGTCAGTGGGGAGAAGACCGCAGCAGCATAAGGATGGACAACAGTATACCTGGTGCTACCAAGCCTCCCCCCTCTCACTAGGGGAACAGCCTCCAGACCCTGTTTAGCTACTCAGCCACATGAGATATTCAGAATCAAAACAAAACAATAAACCACAAGCACAACCTGTCAGAAAAACAGACTGCTGGGCCTTTTCCCCTGAAAACAGCCGCCGCTATTCTGCTGTGTCTCCTGCTGTAAGAAAGAAATAATGGAAAATCGGTAGATTAAAAGACTAACCTTTATTAAATGGAACCTAGCTGGTGTCCTTGACCTTCATGGAGCCTTCAGACTACCCAACTTCTTAGAGATGAAGTAGCTACAATCTTTTTCTTGGCAATGCGGGCATAAAGTCAGTGGGGGAACTAGCAGTAATATTTATTCCATTCTGAGTCAGGTGCTGATCTTGGTTCTTATTTATTTCTGGGTTACAACCTAAGCTCAAATGAAGGTCAAGCTCAGTAGCAATAGATGCAAAAGTCTGATGGATGTAGCAGGGAGTAGTCAGGGGGACATCACACCTGGCAGAGTGAGCCTGGAGGGCAGGGGTCATGGTGCTTCCTTAGCATGCCACACATTTATGATCTTGGTAGCATGGAGAAAAATCTTGACTGTTTGAGTCAGTAGTTAATTTTTTTTAAGTTCAGCATTGTTTAACTGATCAACTTTTTCATCAGCAGGAAAGTGAAGACTAAACCAGCACTGATATGGGTGTCCAAAGTAGCCCTGCCGTATCTGTACCTTGTTGCACAATTCCAGAGGACTTTGATTAGAACTGGCCAGTGGATTAACATGGCCAAGTGCTGTCTTTAGAAAGAAGCTTCGGTTGATCTTTAATTGAGCGAGATTTGCACTGTGCTGGCCCAGCTCAACACTGCAAGCCTCTGTCCTTTCAATAGCTTGACAGCTCTTTTCCCTGACCCTGTGTTTACCAAAGTGGTCAAATGAAAGGATTTGCACTTAAAATACTCTATGGTACAAAGTGGCACATGTAGGGCCCATGCTCTATAATACAGACACCTGTACACACACACACATCATGTCCACTAAAAATAGCCAGACACGTGGCATCCATCAGAATAAAGTGAGGTTTCCCAACCGTGGCTTCCTCTTGATCATTTTGCCTCACTTCACCTATTTACATATGTAAAAATCCCTGACCTTCCTTTCCCATATCCACACTGCTGGCTTTATCCTGAAATTCAGCCCCTAGTCACACTGTGGATTCAGATACTCAGCCATTGTGTCTCCAGTACTGACCTGTCCATGTGTCCCTGGTTTGGACCCAGACCCACATGTCAGTTACCACACAATCAGGTCTCTGCCTGAGTGTCACATTTATCTGCATCGGTCACCACACTCATGTCACCACTCCTTTGATCACATGCAGGTTAAGTGCTGCAGCCAGCCTTCATTCTTCTCTCAGCCTAGAGGCCTCTCTCTACTTGAGTCAACCTAGAAACTTCTCTTTCTTTCTTTCTCATCAGCCTGCCAAATGAAAACTGCTAGGATTATACCCCAAGAATCCTAAAACAACAATTTCAAAGAACCTATGCACCACAATGTTCATAGCAGCACAATTTACAATAGCCAAGAGTTGGAAGCAACCTAGGTGCCCCTCAGTAAATGAATGGATCAAAAAATTGTGGCACATATACACAATGGAATTCTATGCAGCAGAGAGAAAGAAGGAGCTACTACCCTTTGCAACAACATGGATGGAACTGGAAAGCATTATGCTGAGTGAAATAGGCCAGGCATTGAAGGACAAATACCATATGATCTCACCTTTGACAGGAAGCTAAACAATAAAACAAACAAGCAAATAGAATAAAAACAAAGACACTGAAATAGAGAACAAGTGGGCAGCGACCAGAGGGGAGAGGGAAAGGAACTTAAGGGGAAAAAGGGGGAGGGATTTTGAGGAACAAGTATGAAAGACACAGAGATGAGGACTGGGGGGGGGAATGGGAGGGAGGGGGGAGACCGGGCGGGGGGGTGGGGTGGGATGGGAGAAATAGATAAAAAAAAATGTACTTGAAAAGTAACTAAATAAAATTTAATATTAAAAAAAACTTCATCAGTGTTCGTTATCTTGCTCTCCTAGCAACAGGCTCCTAAGAAGCTCACCATATATTTTCTGAGCCTCTGCTGTAAGCCTGCTTGGTGATGAACACTGGAGACATGAAGGAGATCTTGGAGAAACACTATTTCTACCTGCTTTATATGCGTAGAACGCCTTCTTCCTTGTCTTCCATCAATCCAAATCCTACCCCTTGTAAGTCTCACCATCTCCAAGAACTGTTTGCCCTGCCCTTCCTCTGCTTAGAGCTTTTTTTCTTTCTGATAGACCAAGGGCTTTGTGAGGGAATGACTATTATTTATTAATCCTTTTATTCTCAAGTCCTCCGGTGATAAACAAAAGAAAGAGTGAATGAATAAATAAATGAATGAATGAATGAAAGAAGAAAAGGGTGTATATTTTTCATCTCTAACTTTCTTAA